CTCCCAATGGGCAACTCATAGGTTTGAACTGCTGATATTGCAGTTAGTAATCCAATACCATATACCACACAGCAGCAACAGCACCATATACCACATAGTCAGGGCTTAGAAATTGGCAAAGTTGAAGCCAAGAAGGCTGCATGCTAGGATGAGACACCCCAGCAGGTTGGAAGGGATTGGAAAGCATCCAACTAAACCAATTTTTAAAAAATCCGTGGTTCTCTGTCAGTTCCTACTCATAGAAACTATATAGGCCGAGTAGAACTTCTCCCTAGGGTTTCCAAGACTGTATATCTAAATTTGAGCAGACTGCCACTACTGTCTCCTAAGAAACAGCTGATGAGTTTGAACTGCTGACCTTATGGTTAGGAGCTCAGTGTGTAACCCACTAACCAGCAGGGCTCCATAGCATGGGAAAATACCAATAAGCCAGAAAAGTTGATTCTGGATCATGGCAGTCTATGTGTATCAGAGTGCTTCATGAGGCCCTCAGTGGCTGAGTTTCCACAATAGATTCTAGGATTTTCTGTCAAGGTGCCACAGGGGAACTTGACCTTCCAATCTTTGTTAGCAACCAAGCACATTAATGATTTGCACCACTTGAGAACTCTCATAAGGGGGTGTTGTTATTGTTAGTTGCTATCAAATTCATTTCAATGAATGAAGAGGTAGGGGCCCACAAAGATAGGGACTGGAGCTGACACAAAGACTTCATGTCATCCAGAAAGGAACTCTGCAATGCATCATTTCAATTCTTAGGCGAAGCTTGTATAGATGACTGGGGAACACATTTTACCAGGCCCCAAACTTCTTTTGTTGGCCCTGGTGACAATGGGAAGATCTCCACAGGCCACTCAAAAATGCAGCTAATGTACCTGAAGGAAACCATTCATGTAGACAAAAGATACCGAGAAAATGGCAACACCAGCTTTATCGGAAGAGAATTTTGTTTCTTCCCCCTTGTCCTTTTTACTGCCTCTGACTTGATCAGAATGAGGATCGGGCAGGAGATTGGAGACGGGGACCTGAGCAGAGGAGAGGGTCCTCAAAAACAACACAGATCCACGACCATCAAGTTGCTGTCAACTCATAGCAACCCTATAGGACAGGGTAGACCTGCCCCTGTGAGTTTCTGAGACTGTAACTCTTTATAGGAGTAGAAAGCCTTGTCTTTCTTCTGAGAGGGAGTTAGCTTTTATTTTTTCTTTTATTAAATAATGTTTTATTTTTCTTGTAGTTAAGGTTTACCCACAGTTTAGGTTCCCATTGGACAATTGGTCAGTGACATCATTGGCGGTACTCAAGTGTGTCCATTTGTGAACATTCTCAATATTTCCACCTTGGAAATTTCCATTAATATAATTTCCCTGCCCCCTTACACGCTTACCTTTGTCTTAAGTAAATGTTGAGCATTTGGTCTCAGTCTCAAATCGGTGATATTTTAAAGGAGTTGAGGACACATACGGGGTAAGCTTTATTTTGTGAGCTTATCTGTTGTTTCGCTAATAGATGAGCTCTGGGGAAAGAGACTCGAGTCTTTTGTTGCTAAAAGATTGATGTTTTGATTTGGCTTGAACAATACAGTACTGTTCTAAGATCTGAAGGTGACTAGAAGGTTTTATACTATATCCAGAGCTGTGGACAAAGGAAGGAAAGGCTTCTTCAACAAAGAGTACCTTCAAACAGGAAAAGAAATAAAGCCATTCCCTGGGTGGAGCCCATCACTAGCCCATTTACCAAGCCAGCTGGCCCTGGTGTGTAGGCTGACTTCGGTTGCTCAGAATCAAGGAGGCAGAGGAGGTGCTAGCAGAGGGACGTCTCTGCTTTCATTTTCCTTGTTCCACTCCCAGCCTCCTCTTGGCTCCAAACAGAATGAACGGTGAACATTCTTTGTTCCTACATTGCCCTATCAGTTATCAGCAGAAACTATAAGAAATCAGTTACATATATGGTAATGAGGGGGACAAGAAATATTTAGTAAAATTCTGCAAACAAGATCTAGGTGAATGATTTGCTCATCAATAGGACAGAAGGCTCACAGTAGCCACCAAGGCTACGCCTGCCTCTCATAGCAGCCCCTTGCCATTGTTCGGTTAAGTTCTGGGGGTGGGAATGCTTTTGTGAAGACAGCAGCTGACACTGCACTGTTACATTGCCGTGGCCACAAAGCAGTCTAATAGTCCTTGTAATAACTAACGGTTATCGAGCATGGGGGCTGGGCAGATGTTTTCCACACATCTTCTCTTTGTGGCTATTGTGATGATTTGGGTTACAGGAAACAAGAAAGACAGATCAAACTGACTTATGTAATTAAAGAAATGTGGCCTTCTTGTGACTGAAATTGTTCTGTGCTCCAATGACCTTAAGCAAAGTTTAATTGTGGCCTTGGCTCCATTTCTCTACAGCAGTCTCAGGTCTGCCCTGTAAGTGGCTCAATTTCATGTTAGCAACCATGGCTGCAACACCTCCAGATCTCCCGGCACTGCACTAAAACTGTCAGAGACAAAGAGAATCTGCCTGGCCTTTCCACTGAAAGAGAGGTCGGTTCTGCCCCAGACATACTCGGAAAGGACGCATATCATCGGCCTGAATTGGTTCACTTTCCAGTTCTTGCCCTGTGCCACTCGCCTGGGTTCTGGAGTTCCATGTCAGTCTCTCAGGCAGAGAGAGGGGTTTATGTGAACCTGTCTGAGCTGGCCTGATCCAGGCCCATTCCTAGAATAGGGTGGCTGCTAACTCCTTCCAGCAAACCTCATGGAAAACGGAGGGTGGGGGGGGCGCATCCCTGTAAAGGAATCAACCCCCCCAGAGTCCAGCTCTGAGGCACCTGATGAACAGCCCAGAATGCTAGGAAAAAGCAGCCTGGAGAGGCTGGCATGAAGGGCAGCGAGCCCTCTCAGCACTTATGGAGGTATTGGCTCTTTAAAAATTAACAAGTCATTTCCACCCTGGGACTCATTTAGTACCTGAGTATCTCTCATAATTGAAATATTGAGCCCAAATGACTTTCTTTCTTCATTTTCAAAATTATGTTTATTTATCTGTTTTAAGGAGACTGGCAGAATTATGACTTAGTTAAACTGCTAATTATGGAGCTATGGTGCTGCAGTAATTAAGTCCTCAGCTGTGAGGCAAAGATTCGAACCCACCACCATTCAAACCACTCTGTGGGAGCAAGATGGGGCAGTTTGCTTCCAGAGACTCCCACAGGGCAGCTCTTCTCTGTCTTATTGGCCTACTAGGGAGTCAGAAGCAACTAGCCAGCAGTGATTTATTTGTTTGCATATGCGTATGCATGTCTATGTACATATACATAGCTACTTCACCCTCTACTGCTTGTGTGGTACATAAGCACTAACACTGCTCCCATACTCGTATGTAAAAGGAAAAGCTTGCCGATGAAATGTACGCGCGAAAGGCCTTTAGACAGAGCTCTGCTTAGACCCCTCTAGCTCCGGCCCTCCCCTTTCCATGAGTGTCACCCTGCTTGTTATCAGGACTGAGTATAAAAGAGAAAATGGAATGCAAGTCCTTTGTTAGGGCCCCTGGTGCAACTGGTCGGCGCTGGGAGGCTAAGGCCGACATTGGCGCTCTGAGTCTCAATGAGGGGCACCTCGCAAAAAGGTCTGGCCAGCGGGACGAATAACGGAGAAGTGGGTGAGGGGTGATGGAGGATGATGTAAGGTCTGGAAAAAATAATCTATAACTTATCAAAGGTTCGTGAGGGAGGGAGGGTGAGGGATGGAGGGGGAAGAAACGGGGAGCTGATATCAGGGGCTCAAGTGGGCAGAGTACGCTTTGAAAATGATGATGCAGCATATGTGCAAATGTGCTTGACACATTGGATGAATGCATGGATTGTGATAAGAGATGTAAGAGTCCCCAATAAAAGTATTAAAAACAATTCAGTCACCCCCCCTGCCTGGTGTTCCCACTCATGAGCTCGCGGAAGACACTGGCGCCACAGCAATGCGTGGTGAAGAAATCAGATGGTGTCTGGCTATCTGAAAAACAGTGTCTGTAGTCTTAAAGGCTTGTCTCAAAGCAAGCAGCCATCTAAGTGCAGAGTCTGCAAAGTCTACGGGGAAGATGCACACTAGCCTGTGTGACCCAAGGAGTGCAAATAAGGTCCAAACCTGGAGCAGCTGTGGATCAGTGCCTACATTCTAAACACCTGGTTTGTGGAACGCTGTTGATGAGAGTGTTAGCCCCAAGCCATGTGCAGGCCATCCATGGATTAAGTCTCCGTGTAGCCCCAATGCAGCTCTAACAGCCCCAATATCAGCACTTTCAAGTGGGTTTTAAGCTGTACCTTGGAGTGAATGTAACACCTTGTAATTTGATCTCTCTCTGGACCCAATGTGAGTTTATTCGAAATTTTTAATACTCTCGGCTTTCCTCTTAGATTGTTACTGGGTCCTTGTTTGTTGTTTGCCCTGGTTTTGTATGTTTGTCTGTAAGGGGAATCCAGAATGGGTGGCATTCCCAAGCCAGTCTCCGGGTTGATGATTGCCTGGGGGCAAGGAAGGGAGTGTGGGAGAAATGGGGAGTCCACCTCTGTGGGCACAGACTCACTGCCTCGGAGTGACCCCACGGGACGGGGTAGAGCTGCCCCTGTGGGTTTCTGAGACGGTATCTCTTTGTGGGCGCAGAAAGGAAGAATCGCTGACTTTGCAGTTCGCAGTCAGCGGGTAACCACTATCCGCCACAGCTCTGCGGTGGGACAAGGGGGAGGACAGGCTCCGAGTTGACAGTGGGAATGGCTTCACAACCCTTCTTGATAGGATGCAACCACTGAATTGTACGATCTGTTAATTATAGCGCAATAACTTAAACGTCTCTCCGCCACCGAAAACCCTCCAGATACAGTCTGCCCCGACCTGCATGAGGTGGTCATGAGTCAGGCAATTCCATGGCAACTGCTTTAAGTGACTGCACCCATCCCAGGCCCCTCTGGCGGAGATAGCCCAAATCCCACGACTCTTCTTTGTGCCTTTCAGAAATGAACCGGCATCACTACGCTCTGTACGTGCACAACTGCCGCCTCGTCTTCCTCTTGCGGAAGGATTTTGATCAGGCCGACACCTTCCGCCCTGCGGAGTTCCACTGGAAGCTGGACCAGGTATGGCTCTCCCTCCCCCTGGTCTCTGCTCACGCCTTCTAGGGCTAGCTTGCTTGCTTCTAGTGGTGGCAGTAGGTCGGTATTGCTTTCTTTCACTTGCTGATTTGGGGAGAGAAAAACCATTCTAGGGAGAGATCATTATCTTAACATCAAGATCAAACCCCACTCCCACAACCCAATCATTCAGCATTAGGGAGAACTAGGATTCCCTCCCAATCATTCAGCATTAGGGAGAACTAGGATTCCCAGCATGGGTCAGTGAACCTCCATCTGTGCCACACGGAGGTGATGAAAAATGGTTCACTTGCTTGGCTAGCCTGAGTAATCATCCTCGTCTCTACCAGTGTCTGCTCTTTGACGCTCTTCTACCGTTGCTGGGTGACAGTGCAGCATCGGTTTGGTGACAACAGGGTTCCGAGAATTTTGAAGTTTGCAGGCTGCGAGCAGTTCTTTTCTGAAGTGGAAAAATCTATGACTCACTCCAGAGCCTCATGATTTCTGATCACAGGGGCCATTGTGTTACACTTGTCTTTGACAAATGAAGTGTCTGGTCTGGATCCAAAGTATTGAAGAGGGGTTTTCTGAGTGCTGTGAGCATTGAGACCATGGGAGTGACACTCGCTGCTCTGGGCGGCTGTCCCCCTAAAGAAGCATGCTCAAAGTAGGTCTGCATGGAGATTTGTGGGACAGTTCGTTTTGTTTCGTTTCGTTTCATGGTTTTAAATGGGCAAGGAAGAGCATCAGGGAAGACAGGAAAAGGTGTCAGAAGAAGAGGGCTGTTTAATGAAGCAGGTGAAATGTGTCTGAGTTAGTTAATTGTGCCAACCTGGCCAATAATCACATGTGGGGCTGATTGAAGGGCGGAGGGATAAATGGCTCAGTGAGCCTCGCCTTTCTAGTTCTCGGGTCTCTTGCTTTGTGATGGTCGCACCAGGGTGCAGCTGCCTTAGCAGTTCCCTGCTTCAGCTTGCAAGATTGACTTCCTACAAGACATCCCCAAGGAGAAGCCACATGGATCTATCCCGATGCAGCCCTGGGTGCTGGAGCAGTGGTGTGGAGATCCCTGCTAGTGCTGAGATGCTTGTTCATTCACTGACTCAGCTTTCCTCCTGCAGTCGGCATTATTGCCTCTGTTTTGTGAGGTGAAGGACTTTGTGGACTGGTGTTGGGTTAATGGGTTAATGTTGGACTTGTGGGCTTGGGCAGCATTGGGTTGGGATGTTTTCGTGATGCACATTTTCTTTACATAAAACTCTCTTATACATGAGTTGCTGTGGATTTGTTTCTCCAAAGTAGCCAGACTAATACAGTGTCCATTCAACGGCCCTTATTGTCTGAGTCTCCCGGTATCCCTTCTGCTGCCTTCTGACTTGTCCTTCTCCCTCCCTACTATTTGTACTGCCTGCCTTACCTTGTCTCACTGTCAAAATAAAAAAAAATCAAACTCACTATCCTCAGGTCAATTCCGACTAATTGTGACCTTTTAGGACAGGGTAGAACTGCCCCTGTGGGTTTCTGAGACTGTAACTTTCTCTTTCAGCCTCATTTGTCTCTGGGGCTGGATTTTCCACAGTCCTCTCCCTCTCTCTCCTTATTGCCCCATCTCTCTCCATCCCCTCCCTCCACCTCCACCAGCTCTGTCTAGTTGATTCAGATTCATGCGGCCCGTGTGTCACAGAGTAAAACTGCGTCTGTAGGCTTCCATGGCCGTGACCTTCAGAAGCAGACTGTCAGATCTTTCTTCTGAGATGTCTCTGGGTGGCCTCACAGGGTCTCTTTCATTAGTAGCCATGTGCCCAACCCTTTGCTGTCCCCAAGAATACCACCCTGTCCCTCTGCTATTTAAGTCCCCACCCCGTATGGTGAGATAGAAATATCCTCACAGAAGTGCAGGTGAAGAACCTTTAAAGGAGAGACCCATTTCTCCAGGGGGATCTCTCAGTGATGGGATGTCTGTCAACGTCAAGGAGAGGAAAGAGGCTTGGGGAGCCCAGAAGCAGTTCCTGTTCAGTAAATACCACCCCACTGGGTGTAAGATCCCAGGGTACTGCAAATACAGTACCTGGATTAATACCTGTTCCTCTGAGCTTGCAGGAATTGTAAAATCTTCACATTAATTGTGTGATTCCCCAGCAGTCTCTCAGCCACCTACTAAGGTGGCACATGGCTTACTTAACACACTGCCATTGAGTCAGTGCTGACTCAGGTGGCACATGGCTTACTTAACACACTGCCATTGAGTCAGTGCTGACTCAGGTGGCATATGGCTTACTTAACACACTGCCATTGAGTCAGTGCTGACTCAGGGAGACCCCCTGTAGGTTTCCAGGCCCGTAACTGTCCAGGCTTTCTCTGGAGGAACTGTGCTGCTTTCAAACTGCAGACCATTTGGATTGCTCAAGTGGGCTGTTTTTAAATGCATAATATGAATGGAAGTGAATTAAAATAAGTTAAATATTGTGAGGTGTGTGTGTGTGTGTGTGTGTGTGATAAGAGCATCCCTATACTGTCTGAGATAATTATAGATAGCCTACAATGTTTTTTAAGCTGGGACCGAGAAATATGACTTATGCAAACAAAGTCAGAGGGTTTAAAATTAGAAAGAGTTGAAGAGGAAATTCTGATTCTACAGATAAATAAAGCTCCTCAAAAACCAAACACCAAACTCACCGCCATCAAGTCCATGTGGACTCATAGCGACCCCCTGTGGGTTTCTGAGACTAACACTGCTTACAGGAGTGGAGCGCCCAGTGAATTGCCATTCACCTAGTAATGCTAAAATCTGTTCCCCAAAATGGGGACGGTAAAAAAGGGCTGAAATAACTGCCCACCTTCCAAACCCCCCTGATGTCACTGACTACCAGTGGCTGGTGCCTGCTCTCTGCCAGTGCACCCCGGTCCAGTCCTCCCTCCTCTCAGCCAGTCTGATGTGATGTGGGGCAGGAAACCAAAGGCTGGAAACTGACCTCTCCACTCTGCCACTCCGTGAGTGAGCATGCCAACTGACCATTCATAAAAGTAAAAATAGTTCAGAGATCCCTGAAACATGACATCAATGTAGTCTTGATGAAAAACAGTGAAAGTGCCACCCCTTTATTTGCTTGTGTTCTGTGTCCTTTCTCTATTAAGATAAAAAACCCGCACCGGGTAAACCTGGCTAGTACAAACAGTTAATGCAATCGACTAGACTGAGTAGAGAAAGGTTCGCGATCGCAGTCCATGCAGAAGTTCCTCGGCAGCAAAGCCAGGGGATCTGCTGTAGAAAATCCAGCCCTGGGAAGCCAGCACAGAGGCGCTTGAACACACCAAGGTGCCATGAGTGGGAGGTGACCTGATGGCACCTGGTTACCGTGGTGGATCCATGACCACAAGGCCTAGCTTGCTTCGGAGGTTTCCCTTCCTCTGAAGAGAACAGGTAGGCTAGGTGACACCAGCCATGCCATAGTGGAAATGCCTCGCTCCCTGTGTAGCAGGAAATTTACCAGGAGCTTGTTGGATGTAAAGACCTTAACACCTATCATGTGCATAACTGTTAATGTCTACAGCAAGCCTTCACAGATCAGCCAGCAGGGTGGTGGTCATCCCAGACTCCACAGAGAACTCCACTGTGGTTATGCCCACTTACAAGGTCATCTGCACACCTGGCAGTGAGCTCCTGGAGGACAGGACTATGGATTAATCACCCCCATTCTTGAGCACATATTATAGCCCTAAGCACATGGTTGGCGCCTAATACGGAAAATAATTACCTAGAAGAGGGAGATAGAATGCAGGAGAAGGGAACAGATGAAACACCAAATCCAATGATCATCAGAAACCTCTGTTGATTGATACAGTGGTTTATTTTGATTTTTTTTGCTCTCTTCATATTCATTTGTTGTTCAGTTTTGATTGTGATATCCATTTCAAAGATTTTACTGGGTTTACTACCAATGGCTCCATCAATGTTGCAGGGCTTCCCGCAGCAAGGATTCAAGCTGCTTGGATGCGTTTTCAAAATCCTTATCCACCTCAGGAGTCCCAGAATCACATGCTCTGCTCTCGTTTCTGGTGGGAATTTCCTAAGTGCATTATCAGTTTTGAATGCCTGATTTCACCTTTAAACTTCATCCAGCAGACATGTTCTGAGCACAAACTCAGTGGATCAAGTTGTCGTGAGGGGAAGCCTTAGACCTGCTGGTGCTAGGAGGGGAGACCTCCTGTTGTTTTACAAAGTATCGCATTTACTGGAAGGCATAGGTAAGTGCAGCCTTGACCAGCCAGAAGAGGACAGATGTCCCCCGTTCCTACCAGGGACGTGCTGGGAAAGAAGGAAGGGGAAAGGTGGGGTCCATGGTGGGGACATCTGGCACATCCTTGGGGATAAAGGACTGGGAAAGGCCCTATGAGGAGCGATGTGGGCAGAGTGGAAGACTCAGGTAGCCAAGAGGGGAAAGGGAGAGTGGGAGGGTCACCTTTGGGAAGCCACGGTTTCAGTATGGCAGGGACTAAGAAGGGGGGTGGGATGAAAGGCCTGGACAGGTGTTAGCAGCCTCCTTTGGAGGATCAGGTGGGGACTCCATCTCAAGTGGCTGTTCACAACATGCGATTGGTTTGGTCATTTAGTCCCACATAACAGACAACAAGGGAAGCATTTTGCTCTTCAATGAAAGTCTGCTTGAAAATTTCAGAGCTTGCCAGAACACATGCACCTAGTGTTCTTGGCCCTTGGCCTGGTCGTGGAGATGAAGGAATCGAAGGGATGTGGGCTCTACCATAGCCTCTGCCACGGATCCCGTTGGGTGGCTTGGCCTGAGTCACAGCGACTTACATTTTGTGACTGTCCTGCTGGCACTCATTTTCCTAGTTGTTGTTTGTGACTCCAGGGGGGCAAGATCCATATGGTTCTTGTGCATTGATTTCTAAAAACTGATCATCGAGGTCATTCTTCCGAAGTGAGGATGGTTGACAGAGGGCACCTCAGGATTCTGCCCCGGAGTGAGGCACGATCACAGATAAAC